TAGTAAACTTTGGGAGCAGGAGACTGTCCCGATAGACTGGTCATTGCCCCAATTTTCAAGGCAGGCTCCCGTTCCGAATGCGGCAGTCATAGAGGGATCAGTCTGATCTCAGTTGTCTCTAAATTGCTAGCGTTTGTCGTTCTCCACAGACTGTCTGGCACTCGTGAGCCAGATCCGTGAAGAGCAAGCCTGGTTTCGTCGAGATCGGGGCTGCATCGATCACATCTTCACCTTGCGTCAATTGTTGGAGCACCGCCATGTTTATTGGTGACCCACTGTTGTCGTCTTTCTTGACATATAAGGTGCCTTCGATTCAGTCGATCGATTTTCCTTTTGAGACTGTCTGCTGAGGAAAGGTGTGGCTGATAAATACGTAAACATTATCAAAACGTTGTACGCACCTAGTTCGGGCAGAGTGAGGGTTTATGGCAAACTGTCGTCACCCTTCAGTATCACCAGCGGTGTGAGACAAGGTTGCCCGCCGTCACCTTTCCTATTTAACATCGCAATTGACGAAGTCATGGAAACATTCTCTGGACACGACCTAGAAGGTGTGGAGCTGCTTCCTGGTGAGCGGACGATATTGCCCTCATATGTGACAGCGATCAAACATGCTAAGCAGCGTTGGACCGATTAGCACTGGCTGTCTATCGTTTTGGGCTTTGCTCCATTGAAATGCAAAGTATTTATCTAAGATTGGCAGGGACTCACCACTGCGCTAACGCTTGGTGGTGATCAGCTAGAAGTCCTTCAGGAATTCAAGTATCTGGATAGCTATATTAACGCTCATGGGGTCGAAGATGAGTTTACGAACCGTATAGCAAAAGCCCGAAGCGCTTTTGCCAATCTCCGCCACCTATGGCGCAGACGCGACATTACTCTCGCCCTGAAGTGCAGAGTTCATAATTCAGCTGTCCGTTCAACCCTCCTATATGGTTGTGAAACCTGGCCCATCAGGTCGACAGACATAAAGAGGCTCGTTACATTCAATCCTCGTTGCCTTCGCAGCTTAGCTCATGTCTAGTGGGAGCACCGCGTGAGCAATGAGCGTGTTCGGTGTCGCCTATTTGGTGCAGGAAGAACGAGTGAACCACTCAGCACCATTATATCACGCGCCAGGCTCCGATGGTTGGGCCACGTGTTTCGCATGCCAGCACACCGCCTCCCGCGACGTGCATTTGCGCGCCGGGGGTGTGAATGGAAGAAGAGGAGGGGTGTCCAAGCGATGACTTGGTCTAGAGGAATGAAAACTCTCACTTCAAAGTTGACCTCGGTTGGAGCATCTCGGCTCCCTGGTTGGGGTCCGAAAGACGATGGACACCTTTGTCTGGATACACTTGCGGACATGGCTAGGATCCGACCTCATTGACATTCGTGCTGTGAGTTTCTTTGCCCCTCCCCGTCCATCTTAGTCTCCCCCTCCAACCACGATCTCATATCTTAGCACAATATAATTTTACACACTTATTTTGTTGCCTAGTAGCCGGCTGGTAGCTTACCGGAACGATGCCCATCCGTTACTGGTAGCTCAGTTGGCATACCTCTTGCTTTTTTTCTTTAAGTATTGGGGCACAGTAGCTAACCTCTAGCTAACATGCATACTAATGATGATGTCTGCGGACCCAAGAACGATAAACACGTCTGATCGGATACACTGATTGTGATAGCATGGAGCCGACCTCATTGGCGTTTGTGTTTTGAGTTCCTTTGTTTTTTTCGCATCCCACTTATATTTACCTTCTAACAACGATCTCTGTCTTGAAGCATAATATGTTACGGCACAATAGCGGAGGTATTTTTTCCACCTCTAGCTGATGTGTATATTGAATGAATGAATGTTACTGAGCCGTATGTTACCTGTTGTTTTTGTGTTCTATGACGTTTACTATGTCGCTTCTTCAACTATCTTTTTGTACTGCGGCACAATTGCTGAAATGTGTTTCTCACCTTCAATTACTGTGTAATGGTGATGATGATGACGATTTCAGGTTTCGCTATCTTCGAATGATGAGCATGTGGGCAAATCTGGACATTCTGTGCAGTCGAAATTGGACCAGAACGGGTTGTGTTGGGACGGCTTCGATGCATGTCGTGTCTAGTTACGACAAGTGACTTAATAGACATGTGGTCAGTTTTATTGTTTTGTAACAATAATCCTGCTAATCCGTTGCCGTACATATGGCGTATTCTTACAGGACGGCCATGTCGTCCATGTCATCATCCCGGCCCCTAACTTCTGGAACCTATGAGTGTACAGCAGTCACGATTGATTGCATTGTTGTTGCGATTGCGCTCCAGCTAATGCATACTATGCTTCTCTCGAATGATCTGGCGTGACATGAATTACCCTTTCACAAGATGCCGAAGTGTCCTATTGAGTAACGCAACTTCCCGGCCTATAGCCTTGGTAATTACTCTGGACTACTGTTAGTTCAATCCGCCTGTTCTCGGGTATTGCTTGTATTGCCTCGGAGCCCCGCGACTGCTTCCACCCACTAACGGTAGTGAGAACACGAACGACGACCGGGTAGAAAACAATGTTCACACCAAACCGGCCACCAAGCGTCTGTGTGTGCAAATCAATCACATGATTCAAATTAGGGCATGTACACAGACTATGCAGAAAGGCTGACAATCGACCAATCTAAGCTAGTCATTCCAGGGTCGAAGGATCGATACGGTGTCTCACGAACGAGCGAAATGTACAGTGTAAGGGAAAAGCCATTAAGCATAAGATTCAGTGTCAATGCAAGCTACTCACAAATGTGAGACGAAAGTGAACGTATGCGAGGAACCGTAAAAGGGGACGATATGAATGTGTGACTGAGGCACACTCACAAAACAACTGGGAGTGGTGAAGTTTCCTTACCACCGCTATAACAGCTTGTTGGAAGAGTGTGAGCAAACATCACGAAGTCGCCTGGTGACCTATTAGATAGAGCGTCTGCCTTATACTCCACAGGTCGCCCGTTCGAGCCTGCGCAAATGCGGGCGGCTTCGCACCAACCTTGAGTCGCACGTGATCAGTGTTGGTCATGTGCCAGAGAAACTTTGTTGTAACTTACCGGCGTATTGCTGATGTTGCACTTTACACCCTAACCATACAATCGGTGTGGACTGTTGCATACATGCAGCAAAGGCATTTCGAGACATTTAGGTATAGGGTTCAGCGTTTGTATTCATATAGGGTTCCGAGTCCACCTCCACCTCTTACCAGTTACTTTCGGATGCCTATTTATTTCACATTTCTAGTTGTTTATGAAAATTGGTAACAAGAAGCTACTAGAGCATAAATCCTCTGTCAGCGCGAACATGTTCTGGTAGCTGCAGCTTTATAGCTAGTCCTAGCTCTCGGACGAGCAATTTTTGCGCACTCACTGGTCTTCACTCCTCTTGTAGGTTGACTATCTTCATCCGATGTACTAACGCTTCCTTCATAAAGGTGTTCGTATTATCTTGCTATTTAGTTATGCTGCCATCTGACATATTCTGTTCACAACTAGCCACTAAGACTGAAAATCTCACTTAACATGTCTCTAATGTCCGCTTGGTGGATGGGTGATTCACGCTTTTGACTTGTAATCCATTTGTCGCCGGTTCGAGGTTATGCCGTTATCTGCAGCCTAGTAGTATTTCTAGCCCACACGCAACTTATGGTGACCGCGTGACAACGAAGTGTCGCATCTAAATTCCGGCGTGCTGCTTGAGCATTTTTTGTTCAGGTGTACCTTTTATCTGTACCAGCGTTTGTAACCGTTTGTCCTAGTCCATTCCTGTCAGACACACTTTTACTCCTAACTCGCAATCGTGCTTTCTTTTCTTAGGCAAATCCACCTTAGTATGCCCAGTTTTTCATCCAGCTCTATGCTGAACTTCAATGCGGATAACGGATACCTTGAGGGATTGGCTCGTGGAATAAAAAGTGGCCTACTGAAACAATCGGATTATAACGTTCTGGTTCAGTGTGAGACATTGGATGGTAACGTGACCCTTTTTTTACCTTGTGCTGCCTCTTGTGGATAGATTTGAAGCTGCACCTACAAGATACCGATTATGGCGATTTCCTTGCCAATGAACCTAGCCCACTCGCCGTTAGTACCATTGAGGAGAAAATACGGGATAAATTTGTTCTGGAATTTCGACACCTGCGCACTCAAGCCGTAGAACCGTTATCGACATTCTTGGACTACATCACTTATGGATACATGATCGATAACATTGTCCTCCTGATCACTGGAACCTTACACGGCCGGCCAATATCAGAACTAATATCTAAGTGTCACCCTTTGGGAACTTTTTTAGAGATGGAAACTTTGAACATTGCATCAAATCCAGCGGAGTTATACAGCGCTGTTTTGGTCGACACACCTCTCGGTAAGTGCCCACATATCTTTTTGATCACTCTTGATTTTTAGCTCCATATTTCATCAATTGCATATCTGAGCGGGATCTAGATGAGTTGAACATCGAAATAATTCGGAACACGCTGTACAAAGTGTGTAAACTCTCGTTACCGCGATTACACTTGTTAGGCTTATCTAGAAGACTTCTATGCCTTCTGCAAATCCTTGGGCGGAAAGACAGCTGAAGTTATGTGTGAAATTTTGGCATTCGAAGCTGATCGACGTGCCTTTATAATTACCATAAACTCATTTGGCACAGAGTTATCGAATGAAGATCGCTCAAAGCTTTACCCGGAGTGTGGCAAGCTCTATCCCGAAGGTCTGGCAGCATTGTCCAAGGCTAATGACTATGAACAAGTAAAAGCTGTTGCCGCTTATTATGCTGTAAGTGAAGGTCTACAGCTAGTCATTCTAGTCGATGTCCTTGGATAATGAATGTTTTGATCCTCAACAACCACTCATTGGCCGCTCAATACCACTGATATATATATATATATATATATATATATATATATATATATATATATATATGGTTCACGCAAAGCACTCAGCATCGGGTGTTGGATCGTGCGCACGCTACAGGAATGGAAATCGAGTGAGCGCCCCGAGAGACGCACTGCACTACTCGCAATCGAACTACCGCCCTACAAGACCGATATTGCGGCGCTCAGTGAAACCCGACTCGTTGAGCAAGGTAAGTTGCATGAAGCAGGTGCTGGCTACACGTTCTACTGGGTTGGCAACCCCACCTCAGCACCACGTGAACATGGGGTCGGATTCGCAATATCCGATCGCCTAAATAGCCAGCTGGTGAGTGAACCAACAGTCATAAGCGCGCGACTGATGGCTGCTCACCTACGGCTCAGAAGAAGTAAGTTTGCCGCTTTTATAAACACGTACGGTCCAACCATGTCCTGTCCTGATGACACGCGTGATTAATTCTACACTCATTTATCCTCCGTGATACGGTCTGTGCCGAGGAGCGACCGACTATTTCTGCTGGGTAATTTCAACGCGCACATTGGGCCTGATGCATCGGTGTGGACAGATGTCATCCGTCCGCATGGCATTGGTTCAGCGAATGCGAACGGTGACAAGCTGCTCTCACTGTGTGCCACTCACGGCCTGACGATCACGAACACTCGGTTTGCACTGAGTGCGACTAATAAAGAAACTTGGACTCACTCAGGAAGTGGTCACGCTCACCTGCTCGACTATGTCATCGTACGTCAGCGTGATATGTGTGAAGTGCGCATGACACGTGTACTGCTTGGAGCCGAGTGTGGCACTGATCACAAATTGGTGCAGACCAAACTGTACATATAATTTCCTAAATCTATGTATTGCACTCCTGCCGTGGATCGGCGTAAATTTACTATTCTTTCCCTCGGTACTGTGGAGAAACTATTGAGTTGGAGAAGGCGATGGCTGCACACCTGTGTGTTGTGAAATGTACAGCTTCCGTGTGCGACCTGTAACAATACAGTCGCGACCAGGTGACAGGTGCTACCGGGGAGACCATCGGGCGCGCCAACTGTAAGCGGCCTGATTCATTTGATGAGAACATTGCGACAATTGGCACATTGGTGTGTGGGAAGCATGCAGCATTTGCTGCACATGGGGCAGACCCCAGTGACTTGGGGAAAAAGAGTCAGATCCGCAGAATTCGACGGCGACTAATACGAGAGCTCGGTCGCATAAAAATTGCATGGTGGACCGAGAAGGCGAAACGGATGCAATGCTACGCCAAACGCCGCCAGCACATGGAATTCTTTGACTCCGTCATGGTGGTGTACGGACGGAGGTTAGAGCCGCTCAGGACGCTAATCGATGGTAGCTCAGGTGCTTCCTGCAAACAGACTGTGGACATAATGCAGATCTAGCGGGAACACTTAGACTGTCTCATGAACAACCGTTCAGAGATTGGACTACCTTGAACGGCTTCGAGCAGCAAGATGTAAAGGCGAGTTTGGCAGACGTGCCGACACTGGATGAGACGCAGAAAGCACTTGCTCAGCTGCGAAACGGCAAGTGTGCCGGTGCTGACCGAGGACCCGTGTTGGTGAATGCGCTGCACCACTTGGTGCAACGCGTATGGATTGAGGAGGAGGTGCATCCTGAGCTGAAGCATGCCCTTGTGCTACCACTGTACAAGGACAAAGAAAGCAAGCAATGTTGCACGAATCATCGTGGCATCAACTTGCTGAGTTGTGTGGGCCAGGTGATTGCCCGAATCCTGCTCAACCGCCTCGTCAGTCAGGTTGTGGAACCGAACGTGGATTCTGTTCGGGTCGCAGCACCATCGATATGATGTTTGCGGCTCGTCACTTGCAGGAGGTGTGCAGAGAGCGACACCAGCCGTTGTACACGCTGTTTGTTAATTTCACCAAAGCATTTGATACGGTGGACCGCGCGACATTGTGACTGGTGTTGGGTAAGTTTGGCTGTCCGAGTAAGTTTGTAAGTTTACTTGAATGTATGCACAGTGTATGCAGGCGAGGGTGCAGCTGAGTGGAGAGACCTCGGATGACTTTGCAGTTATCCCTAGTGTGAAGCAGGGCTGTGTCTTAGCTCCTGCTATGTTTACTATTTATGTTCATGCCTTGATACCCTGTGCTTTTGATGCGGCTTGTGCTTACGATGTTCGTGTGGAGGACCGTGTTGATGGTGGATTGTTGAACATCAGTCGTTTCCGTGCGAGAACCTTAGTTTGTGAGACAAATATCCGTATGTTGCTGTTGGCTGGCGTCTGCATAGTTTGTACGTAACGCAGATGAGTTGTAGCACATGACCAGTGCTCTGGCTTCTACATCGGCCAACTTCTCGCTCACCATAATCACAAGCAAAACTGTGTGTTTCTTTCTGCCTTCACCAGAGATGCAATCTACAATGGTGCCGCGAATCAGCATTGATGATGACGTATTGGAAACTACCTCCCGCTTTTGCTACATTGGGAGGAGTGTGCTGTCGACTCTACCAGCAGTTGCACAGTGTGCTTCGAATCCGCGTGTCGAAATCAACGGCGGCATTCAGGAAGCTTGAGTACCGAGTATGGAACCACCATCAGCTTACCGTTCGCACGAAGCTGATGGTGTACAACTCCATGGTGCTGTCCGTTCTTCTATACGGCAGCGAAACGTAGACGATGTAACGGCGTGATGTGCAATATCTCGAGCGATTCCATCAACAGTGTCTGCGACGGATTCTGCGCATCGGTTGGTGCGACGGAGTTTCAGATACGGAAGTGTTGCGCCGAAGTGCAATGTATGCAGTGGACTGCATACTTTTGCTGAGACACCTGAGGTGACTCGGTCATGTGTGCCGTATGTATACGACGCGAATACCGAAGCAGCTATTATATGGTCAGCTAAGCGTGGGACAGCGGCGTATGGGAAAACCGAAGCTTCGTTACCAGGATATGATCAAACTGAGCCTATCATGTTCTAATGTTGATTTCAGGTATCGGGTATCGAAGACGGTTGATTGGCGTGCATTGCGCCATCTGATCACGAAGGCAGTTGTCGACGTGTAGGAAAAAGCCCTCGTGAATGCGGAGAAGCGGCATTCGCGGAAGCTGCAGGCGCCGATGGGTTGTACTTCATCGACATCGAGCGCATGGTGTTGTAGCACATGTGATCGCGAATGCCTGAGTCAGGCAGGCCTAGTGAGCCACGACGTAGGCCACTCGGGACTAGTATTTAAACGATGATGGTTGCTGATGAGAACATAAGCAGAATAGGCGCAGCGTTGGCAGGTACTTTGCATGCGCTTCCATTTGATTTACTGTCGACCTGAACCATCTCTTAAACTACTTTAGTTAACTTCGATAACGGTTTCGTGTTTGTGGCATTTTCTTACAATATATTTTCTGACGTCTTGAATTTATCGCAGATATATTGGTAACACATTTATTTCACATGCTAATTTCATGAAGAGTTAAGTCGGCGTATCTTTATGCCTTATCCGATTTATATGTTTTGATATCGTCATCTCAAGTGCTTGGCTGTTGCTTGACATCCCCGGTGTGGCTGCGCTTGATGCGCATGTTGACAAGGAGCCTACCTGTCTATTACCCACTACCTCGTCCAGGAGACAGTTGGTCATAGCTGGAGAGGACGGGGTGCCCGGTCCTCCTGGACGTGCTAGGCTAGAAAGGTGGTTCCATGAACTCAGTGTGGAACGGACTACGGTCCAGCCACCGCCTTGTGTACGCTTGATTCCCAAGTACAGCGTGCATGTGTTTGCCAGTGAAGTAGTGTGGGCCGGCTCCGTTGCTGGAACGTTGCTCCCATCTACATGCCTCCCGGTCTTATTATTTCGGCTTTACACTGGATATGGGGTGTGTGGTTGCAACTGTGGGTGGTGCAGCGCAAGCCACCCATGGTCCCTCTGTAGGCGCAGGCCTAATGTCACTGTGCCCTCCACGGGGACAGCCACAGAACTATTGCGCCTACAGAGACACCATAGGTGGCTTGAATTTCGTTACCCACAGCTGCATCCACACAACCTATATCCAGTATAAACCCGGAGTAATAAGACCGGGAGGCATGTGGATGGGTACAAGGTTCCATCAACAGAGCCGGCCCACACTCCTTCACAGGCAAACTCAAGCACCCTGTATTTGGGAATCAAGTGCACACAAGGCGGTGACTGGACCATAGTCCGCTCCACACTGAGTTCATGGAACCATTTTTCTAGCCTAGCACGACCACGAGGACCGTGCACTTCATCCTCTCCAGCTACGACCAACTGTCTGCTGGAGCCAGTATGGACGAAGGCAGTTGTCGAAGTGCGGGAGAAAGACCTCATACATGCAGAGAAGAAGCGGCAAGCACCGATGGGTTATACTCAATCGACATCGAGTGTATGATGCTGTAGCGCATGTGGTCGCGAGTGCCTGAGTCAGGCAGGCCTAGTGAGCCATGAGCGAGGCCACTCGGGATCACCACCGAAGCGACGACGGGTCCTGCAGAGAACCAAGGCGGAACCGGCGCGGCGTTTGTAGGTACGCAGCATTTGATTTACTAACCGCTTGCTCGCACGCTGGGTCTCATTATTTCAGGTGGTGGTTTTGCAATTTATCATAATGCTTATCTTTCTCATATTAATGCCTACCTGTACTATCTTCTGTAATTTTGCACACGTCGCTGAAGCTAACTGTAGTTAATTTCGATAACATTTTCGAGTTTGTGGTATTTTCTTAAAATATATCTTCTCACCTCTTTAAGTTATCTCGGATTCGTTCGTAACCAATATATTTTCTACGCCCATTTAGTGAAGAGTTATGCCGCCGTATCTGTATGCATTATTGGATTTATTTTAGTTCATCTTGTCGTTTCAAGTGATTGGCTGTTGCTTGATATCCTCGGTATGGCTGCGCTTGAT